AAAAATAGATATAAGTGCGTCTGTGTGGGAAAAAAATAAAATAAAAGGGGTTGGTGGTGTGTTTTTTGTGTTCTTTTTTTTTTTTTCTCTCCTGGGGGGGGGGGGGTTGTTGGGTGGGGGGTTTTTTTTTGGGGGGGGGGGGGGGGGGGGGGAGAGGAAATGTTGTTGATTTGGAAAGGAAATAAATTAGGGTAAGAAAGGTATACTGACTGTATACATAAACCATATTATATAATTATAGTCCGCTGATGGGCTCAGAGGCACCTTGTTGTGGTGGTGGAAGTGGCGTATCTGGTGTCTGTCTACTAATTATTCACTTCGATATTTTAAGTTTTAACAACACCTAAACCCATTATTTTCTAATTTCCAAAATTTTAAACATTCCCTCGCCTAATTTTTATACATTAAAGACATTTTTTTCTATTAAATTAAATCTTGACTGAATATTTAAGAACAAGGGCGCAAATAAGCAAAAAACAGTGCTTTTAACCAGAAATGAATGCCCCCTTAATATCTTACGAACGTTTTTGTTGTTAGTTTTATCCTCCAAAAAGCATAAAAACTTTTGCAGTTACAAATGATTCATATTAAAAGCTGATAGGGGCCTCTGGAAGCTAGTGGTTCCGTGAAGCTTGCGTTTTTTCAATGTTGCTTTGGGATTGGTCACGCGAACACAGGTGAAAAATAGCCTGCGATGTTCTCCGTTGTATGCCTCATATAGGCAAGATAATAACTAATAACTAGGTTACAAGTGTTATCAACGATTATTCGTAATTAAATGAAGGATTATCCATGAGCAGGATGGGCTCCTGCCTTGAGCAAATAATGTTGACTTGAACAAAGCGAAAGGTCAATATTAAAAAGGAGAAATATAATAAAATAAATGAGGCTTTTCTTAAAGTTACAGCAGAAAAAGAAAATTTTAAGCTTTCTACACACTTTATTTTTCTGCGTTTTCTTTGGCTCATTATTCGGTTTCTTTTTTCTTTCTTGCTTAGAGTGTGTGAGCCTTCCCAATTTAATCTCTGAGGCACCTGTGACAAGACCTTACCAAAAAACGGCATATAATACCACCAGGAGCTTCTAATAGACAAATTAACAACCACGACGGCGACAACGTGAAGTGAATTTGCGTCGTTTCTCTAGCTAGTTAAAATGCAGACAATAACAAAACAAAACAAAAACCACATCCAAAATGGGAAAGTGGGAAAGAAAGCGAAAAATTTGTCGTCGTTTGTTGACGTCATTTACGGACCGTAGTGTTAGTATCTCGAAAAGGATTACAAATGTTATAAAAAATGTGATGCATTAGTGGAGAGTTGCAAATGTCCGATCCTGGTCTATACAGGCGTTGTTGACCGCTTTAATTTGGAGAAATTAGCATAACGTCAAAACAGTGAATGTTGTAGCGCGGATTTTTGACCGGTTCGTAGGATAGGTTTGTCTTGAAATTTCAAGGTGTTGCAGTGAATCAATCTTAATGAAAGTTTTAGACATTATTATATACATTATGATCATGAAGATTATGCGAAGAGATTTTTAAAAAAAATTCGTTCGAGTCGTTTCAGAGTTACCCAAAAGAGCGCTAAAAGTCCAATTTTGAATGAAGTTGCACTTAGACAGGTGGTGAGAAAACGGGTTAGTTTTTAAGATCGCAAGAACGAAAATACGCCTAAATTTCCTAGCATCGAAATATGATATAATTTGAAGAATAATTTGGGTCATTTACAACGTTTTCATTAAATCAGCTGATCAAATAATCTATCACGGCTATTGAAAATTTAAGGTTTGAAATATATTTTCGTTTTAGTCGAATTCAAACATACAGAATGTTTTACTTCTACGGTGGTCATTTGCTAAACACCAAACTTTAAGTTCTTAGTGTTGGATTTTCAGTAGCTGGTCTAGATCACGCGAAATTAGGCGTTTATCAATTTCAAAGTGTTTTGTTTATTGTTGTCATAGTACTATCGATTTTACTAGAACCTACATTTTGACCAATTTCAATCTATAGTCAATCATTGGTGAAAATTTTATAGCGATCAGACAAGGATAAAATCACTACTAAAGCGATTGAGAAAACTCGGGATTGCCTCTGAAAAACTATATCGAAACTTAAGCTAATGTTTTTTCGCTTATACAAGGTGTAATAATTATCTTGGTTGGCGAAAGCAAAAAAAAAACAAAGAAACCTTGGCAAGAACAGTCAAAAAGTAAAAATTACACTCACAAGAGAGTTCTGTTACCATGCACTTTTCTGAGACTAGAGTTTTACAAGTTCAATTCCACAGCAATGTTCGCAATAGTGTGCAAGGTTTTGCCGATCATGCGCCGAATTCCTCATCTACTTTAAAATACTTCTAGAAAACAGTACTCATGTAATAATTTAGATTCGATAGGAAAGTCGCACATCGAGTTTTAATTCTGTTACCGATACTGTCAATGGCACAGCTACTCGGCCCACGGCCCGCTAATGGAAGGTAGAACGTAAATGTCATCAACCCACGGCAGGTCGCTAAATTAATGCAAGCTGGAGGTTAATTTAACCAACGACATGCATATTACCAATTAAAATGAACTTAAAATTTTTCAAATGGCTGCCAGTTTTAAAATTCTTTTTACAAAGACACTACCAAATAATCAGTTATTTATGTATAGAAATGTTTAATAAAAAAAGACAGTTTTAGAGCTCGTCATCTTGACGAAACCGATTTCCAAATCCAGCGTTATCCCCGCAACAGACCATCATTTCACCATAAAAAATATCGTTTAATGCTCGGTCCTCTTATAATAATACCCTTCAGAAAATGCATTAAAATGCAAAAATAAAAAGTACAAACAGGAACGTTGTGAACTGGAATTTTAAATAAGCTCATTTTAAGAATTGTGTGGACTATTTTGGGCTTATATGAACCGACAGTTTTCTGCACTAAGCGCCCAGCTTAAAATAAAACATCAAAATGTGGCCCTCGAAGAGCGAGGACTTTCAGAACTATATTGTCACTCTTTTCTGGAATTGGCACCTTATTATTTTATGAGGCTTAAATAAAAACAGTCGTTCATCTGGACATTAATTTTTCAAAGAAATGTTTTTTTTGTTTTCAAGTATCTACGCAGATGCTTCACGCGCAAAGGGTCGAAAAGACTCGATAAAGAATGGAAGTAGAGTTAAAAGGTATTATTATTCATTCAAAATATTTCCCCGATTCTGATTGGCTAAAAGCACACGTTTAATTCACCATAACCAGTTACTGATGACCAAATTTGGAAGAATTTTGACTTTAACGAGGAAATGACGTCAAAAATGCAGCGTTTTCGCAGGTTAAGGTACCGTTAACCGAGAAGACCTGGGGACGAGATTGAGTTGTTTTGGTTGTGAACTTGAAAAAATGGCGGACATTTCACTCGTTTCAAGAAGAACTAGGCGAAAAAATAGCTAAAAACATGGCAAGAACAGCAAGAAGACAACTCGGAGGGCGACATCTGCTATTAGGAGAATATTTGCGGAGCTGGACAAACCTAAACGTACACTATCGAAGATGAACTGAACATCGATGGATCGATGGAGGTAAGCATGTTTTAGCTATGTTTTTTAACTAGGACTTATTTTGAATGAATAATAAAACAGTTATTGAATTCGGCTTTCATATCATATGAAGAATTATGGAGATCTCGGAAGGTGTTATCCGCCTCGGCCCACGGCCTCGACGGATAACACCCTCCTCGATCTCCATAATTCTTCATAAGATACTCAGCCTCATTCATTAACTGTTAAATAAATGTTCCATGCCCTCCGGTCAGTCGTTCTAAGCGCTTCGTCACGACTAGCTTCCTCCCTTACGAACGTCATTCGTGGGAGAAGATGATATAACAAAGCCCGGCCAAGTTGTCTGAGAAGGAGGCTATAATGTTCCTTATATATATGTGAAAAATGAACTGCAGAATTAAAAAAGTAATTCTAACTGCAAATGCAGTTCGGTGCATAGTAAATGTATTAAGATGAAATGCGTTAAATGAAATCTTATCCATGACGATTTTACCTGCGTTTTCTCAATTCCTATGAAATTTGAAGTCTATTTTCTCTTGCTCCCATGGAAATCTTTTCTTTGAAGTTATTTCACATAAACTTATTACATTTATAGCCCTTGAAAAGTGTCGAAAAGAATACGATACTCGGGCTTAAAATACGCTGGTACAAGGGTAAGGTTTTTGTCCACTAAAAACTCGATTATTTCTTCTCTTCTTGCCCTTTTAAAATAGTTCCCTTTTCTTTGTACATTTTTTCCCTTGTTTTTTTTTGTTTGTTTTTTTCCAGATTTTTCTCCATTTATAGTTTTTACGATCACGAAACTGGAATACTTTCGTAGACTAGCTGGGGATGCAACTAGAAAGGGGACCTCACACTTAACAAAACTAAAGGGAAAAGGCTATACCGGAAAAACCATGAGAAGTAAATACACTGGAGAAAGCTCCAACAAAATACCCTTACGATCGGCTTAGAAAAGAATCGTTGAAAAATCGAACCATTAAAAATAGCAACGATAAAATTAAAGGAACAAAACGAATTCCCACCAGTTTCTAGGTCGAGTCGCAGCGGCGGTAGTGATTGTCTTGAACCTTTTCCCCAAAGTAGTTGATGAGTTCACGAATAGTAAGGGGTGTCCCCGATAAAACGGAATTCGTCTTACAGTGCGGACACTCGAACCATGAACACCAGACGGTTTTTTTCTGCACTTTTGAACGAATATCCAATCAGCGTACGTCGTCGAAACAAAGGCACTGACATTTTTTAGGCGCTATCCAATCAGCGACTTGATGGTTGGCGGGAATTGTGATATTTTTTCATCGCCTGTAGCGGGCGATCTTCGGTGATCTCTGATGTGGTTTTCGTTAATTTTAAAGTGAGAGATACCGCTAGGCTGCCGCTTGCTAAAAACGTTTTTATTTTTGAGAATTATTTTCCGAAAAACAACCAAAACCGCCGGCGACTGACTTTGAAAATGGCTTTCGCGCCTTTGCATTATACTGGTGAGTTCCCGACTTCTATCAAAAACATTTTTTAAGTGTTTTATTGACGTAGTTTTTGTATTATTCCTGATCAAAGGTAAATGCAAGCTTAGTCTTAACCAACAACATGGTATTTACGACAATGGAAAAGCTCTCCCACAAGTGTATCGGGAAAGAGTGCTTGATCTGTATCATCAAGGGTCGACGCAAAGACAAATTTCGCAGGATATGCGAGTTAGCATCGGCTATGTAAATAAAGTTGTTCAATTTTACAAACAGAGTAATTCCTCTCTACCTGCGCCACGTAAAACACCGGTTCGTAATATATTTACAGCAGATGTTGTTGAGTACGTGGAGTCCGAAAAATTATGTAAACCAAGTGTATACACAACTGAAATTCAACAGCGTTTGTTATTTGATGGGATTTCTCCACCCGGTCAATTGCCATCCGAGTCTGGAATAAAAAAGTGCATTCGCGAAGACTGTAAAATGACAAAGAAAAAAATTTCTCCAGTACCCACAGAATCTTTGTCACAAGCAAATTCTGAATACACAGATTATTTTCTTGACCAAGTTGCGGTGACTATTGGAAAGTTCACTTTTTTGACGAGAGTAGTGTTATCGTGACCGCAGGAAACCGCGTTTATGGCAATTCCTATCTTGGTGAACCTGCTATCGAATTTTAACGCTACGCCTCCAACGCGAATTACACGCTCAACTTACTTCATTCAATACATGGAGTCGATTACTTTGATGTTTTGAGAGGTCCCTCTAATAGCATGGAGCTTTTAAATTTTTTCAATGAAGCCCTTTCGGTAAATAGAGCAGATGGAACAACAATACTTGAGAACGGTGATATGGTTATCATGGACAATTGTGGGTTTCATCACGGACATTTTGCAGAGTCCTTATTACGAGACATTTTACAAGAACATGGTGTTGATTTGCTGTTCCAACCTGCTTACTCGCCCCACTTAAATACTTGTGAACTTTGTTTTCACCAAATAAAGTGCTATCTCAGACAGAATTCATCCTTGACCGCCAATGAAACTGAGATAGCAATCGGTGAAGGTGTATCAAAAATAACTGCAGCAAATTCAGTTGCATACTTTAGAAAATGCGGCTATATCTGATAAGATCGATAAGAATTTGTTTGCACGGACAGATTATAAACCAGTTTTTAATTCAGTCAAAGTCAGTCTCACAAATATAAGCTTAATTTCAATGTGTTACATTACAACAGAAAATACTTACACATGTAATATAAAAGTTTTGATCGCGAGGGCAAATCGGATCGATAGGGAATACATTTCATCCGTTCTTAACTACGTGAAGACAAGAAATAGAAACGCAACGGAAAGATAGTCTATCATAAAAACTGTATCTAATATGAAACTGTTTATAGTTTACATGTAAATTTCTTGCCACGATGAATTTATAAGTACAGCTAATTTGTTCACTGTACTCACAGGGGATCAACAGTTCCATGATTGTAATCTTCAATGACATATGCAAATCTCCAGTCGATGCAAATTTTACCACAGAAACACAACAAAAGATATCTGACCATATCTAGATGAGTACTTGAACATTGTTACGGTAAAGCACTAATTTTAATATCTATTTCTTCACACGGCGTAATGTGTTGCTCACTGCACTCGCAGAGGATCAACAATTCCATGTTTATATTCTTCAATGACATTTGGCAATCTCCAGTCATTACTTTCATCTAATGGAACTTTATTTTTTAGCGCTCGTTGTAAATCATTAAATCTCTATCCAAGGCACTACGTTCCAAGTATTTAGCCGGATTTTGCTTCCGCAACCTTGGACGCATGATTGCGAAGAAGCTAGACTTCGCTCGTTGGCGGGAAGCATTGAAAACTTCCGTCTCATTTTTAGTTTTCGCATACTTTTGTTCAAGTTCCTTTAGCTCACGCTGTAAGGTGCGAATATCATTCAGCAATTCAGGGTGCTTATCCTTCAGCTTACAAAAGTTCACATCATGGCAAGGAACTTCGTTGCACTTTGCTCTGTTGTGCCCAGATGTATGACATATTGCACATACCTTGCCGCGCCGCTCGTGAGCCTTTGGTAAATCATCAAGCACTTTCTGTTTCCCTTGCAAATGACTTTTAGCACTTTGTACTTGTACCTCTAGTAGTTTAAGGTTTTCTGACAGTTCTATAGCTCTTCGATCCAAAGGGCTATGAAAGGTTTGTGGGATTGGGTTGACTGGGTCGATCGGACCAGTGCTATTGGCGGCCGCCTCAGGTAAGTACGGCTGGGACGTTTCTCTCATAAGTTCTTCAGCAGTGCTTGCACTTGGTAGAACATTCAGTCGTTTTGGTTCACGGTGTGTGGATTGTCCATTATTTTCCGCTTTGATCTTATTTAGCTCAGCCTCCAATATACGTCTTTCTGCCAGTAATAGCTTAGTAGGAGATGGAAAGAATGAGTCCAAATCCTCTGTTTGCACGTAAGCTAGCGATCTTCTTGAGCGGAATCCCCTTGTTTCAAACTCAGGCGAAAGCCGTTCTAATTTCATGCTTGGGGAAAGTGACTTCAGCCACAAAAACACCTCTGTAAGCGTCTTATCCGCCATGGCGAACTAAATGACTCGACGGGATCAGATCGTAAATTTAATTAATGCAACAGTCTCGTTATGAACCGGGACTGTGATTGGATGATACGTAAAAAGCGGGAAAAAAGTGTTTGTGTTCATGGTTCGAGTGTCCGCACTGTAAACAGTGCTGCAATATTGACAATTTGATATTAATTAATATTTAATAAAAAACAAAACGACAGATGTTGTCATTAGTAAAATGCCTCAGTTGTAGAGTATCAGATTCATACAGCAGAGTAAATTGATCATCAAAATTGGCTTTCTAAACTAAACTTTTAAAATAAACAATTAAGCCACCGGTCATTTCGCTCCCGGTCGACTGCAGCCAGAGGCGCCCCACTCAGTAATATTTTCCTTTTTAAAAGGCAACTTTAATTTTCTTTTTACATCAACAAAGAATTGTGGCGGAAATGGAAGATAAAACAGAACAAAATTTTCAAAGGAGTACTTAACGCTGTATCAATAGTTTCTACTCTTATCCTAAATTTCAGGATTTTGAGTACCCCTAATAAAATCCGAATCAATAGTTATTTTTTTGTTCAGTTCTAGAATTTAAAAAAAATCCTGTTTTGAATAAAAAGCAAATCCAATGCTGCAGTTGGTTACTTTTAGTAGGTGAATGGAGATCTCATATGGAAGTCTCACGTCTTTTTATTTTTTCAAAATTATATATTGACAATGAGCTCAATTTTTATGGAGCGTGAATGAAAATAAACAGGTGAATTAAGTATTACTCATGAGATTCGATGTCAGGTTTGCAAATAATAGGACCTCGAGTTACACAAACACTTTTTTGAATTACAGTAGAATGTTTTTTCTCTTCTGAAAAGACTGTTGATTGCAAATTACATTTTCTTTCTTGTACTGATATATTAATGCATTTAGGATTTCTGAAAACGTTTGCTGAAGCATACGGATAGCATCACAATCTAAATCGTGAACTTTTACAAGACGTTTCTCTTTAATGATAATTAAGTTTCTTTAACTGTTGCTAAAAACTATGCACTTCAAACTTTCATTTGGTTATCGTTACTGGTGTAACTCTTTCTAATCTTTCTAGATTCCGCATAAAAATGTTGCCTGGGTTTCATAGACTTTATGTGCCACTTTTTTTACCATCTGTGAAAATACCATTAAAAAATAGTGTTCAGTTAAGGTAGCAGCGAGGCAAATCGTGCTCTTATTTCGTTCCGATGCCAAATGGGAAAGGTAGTGGATATTTAGAGTTAATTGTGCTGGCTAGTGGGAGTTCAAGCCTAATTTGACGTAAAATATGCATGATGCCCATTATGAAGCCAAAACGTTTTAAAAGTTGCTTATTTGAAATTCGTATTGACTGCAAAATGTTTGTAAATAGTTCTGTACCACACATTGAGAAAATGAAAATGAAACTTCCCAATGTAAATCGAAAGTCTAATTATCACATTTACAAATCACAAATCGACCAAATTTTCCTTGTCTATAACCAAACTTACAATTACGCTATTAAATGTGTCCGTAAAGAGGCCCGGACTCTACAGTTACCATAGAAACAGTTGCATGTCTGGTTTCGAAAGTGCCCGTAAATCGGGTAGTTACCAACTGTACCTTATTATTCTATCAATGTTGAAATGGTAAATGAACACGAAAGATAACTTCAGCCGTGTGCCTTGGTTTGAGTCTCGTGATTAGTGACCGGGAATAAAAGAAAATTCAAAGCTTTGACACGAAATATATTGCATAAATGAATAAAGTTAAAAAGTCTGATTAATGTTGTTTGACGCCGTAACAGGTACATGTGTGGTTACTTTATTTTCAAGACGCTTAGTCTGAGCTCTTGCACTACCTTGTATAAATACTCAATCAATGGTACGAGGAGGTGCGAAGAGAATAAGTAGGAAAAAAAATAGATTCATTTGATGAATGATATCTATTCGTAGTTTTCACATGACGTCAGCCACCAACACTCAAAAGTAAAGAATTATCAATTCTCCCAAGATTTTGCTTTAATTAAGTGTCAAAGCAGCTAAAAATTTATGTTTTTACAAGTTTTTACTTTGAAAGAGTTCGTTGTTTTGTTATAGAGTACGCTTGAATCTCTAACCTTTTGTGTGACACGGCACTTACGTGGCAGCCGAGAGAGTTGCCACGTAGGTTAAAGACTTGACCTAGTTCGGGGGATGTGGCTAGGCGTTCGTAGAATAACATACTACTAACAGTGCTCGTATACTTCTAAAATAACGCCAGTTTTTGTAAATTACGCTTATTTAGCAAAAAATATATGCAGAAATTACGCCTGTACTTTTTACTTCATATTTGGTAAAAACTCCTAAATTACTGTGCAATTAACACGTAAAAGGCAAACAAATTTTCCCTATCCATAGACTAGAAACTTTGCTAGCTCATAATTCATCATAAATTACCTGGCTATCAATGTCTTGCAAAGTATTTGCGGTGAACGACAGCTTGGATAACCGAGATGCGCATGCATTTAGTCCTGTGGAAAGAATTCTGGGTCACTTCCTGTGGGAAGCAGGTCCCATGAACGGTGACAATAAGGAGACAAAAAGTAATAATCTTGTCTCTTAAATTTGCCTATGACTTTGATCTCGAGCCAAAAAATTGGTTGCATGATCAATAAATGAAAATTTCGTGCTGTAAAACTAGCTAAAAGTGCAAATTATACTAGCAGTGCTTTTTTCACAAAATAGGTACTAGTTGAAAATTACACTCGTAATGACGAACTATGCCAAAACTTATGCTAGCGCAATCCATTAAAGCCTGAATGAGTTGCTATCTGAACAGTCTCTGTGTTAGGAAAAGTACTACTTTAACGTTTATGAGTTCATCGAGGGATGAATTCACACGCTTTCGTAGCAAAGCTAGCTAAGGTAACAGATGTTTCTGTTGGTTTCCTTCCGTCATGTTAATGCCGTCCAGAACAGATGGGCACCAACATGGCGTCTCCATACAAAGCTCTAAAAATTAAGCTAAAATATTTTTCCTAGTATTTCGCATATGAAAAATTGAATCAACCTGTATATTCATCTTCTTACTGGAGCTCCACGCGCGGCGAGAAGCGCCGCGCGTGGGCCGAGCCCCATAGCTAAGGAAATCTACCCATCCCAGAAAATTTGGTAATCACGTGACCGTACACCGAACGATCCTCCGTCCGCACCACTGGGAAACCAATGTTTACTCTCACACTTTCTAGCTAGTTTGGGAGCCCAGGAGAAAACTAATTGCTCATCGAAGTTGTGATCAATAAATAGCTGTCAAAACAGGGTGTCCGCTGACCAGTATCATATGCCCGTACCGCGGGCTCAAGTGTCGACCCATCTAGGTCGAGTATTTTTGAAGTCATCCGCCGACAAATTGCCAGTTTCAAATGATCGCAGGTTCAAGTTTATTTTTTCCAATGACAAATATAAAATATGTTGTGTTTATGTCATTATGGCCCCGCACTATTAAGAGTTTGATTTTGAACTGACCTCGGACGCAAAAATTCAGCCAGTTTTTTAAAAATAC